CAGATAGAAATTCGGTTCATGAGGATTGTTTGGGTTAACTCGTGTGGCATCCATTCAACGATCTTTTCTTGTATTCGGCAATATTTAATCTATCTCTATCTCTATTAATCCTCTGTCGCGATTGTTTATAACGTGGGTAGGTAAGTACTTTAGTTTAGAAAAATAGGCATATAGGTATTATTCATTTTAATAGCTTTATCCTATTTATAATAGTTTCAATTCCTTTCTTCCACATGTGTGAGTTTTGAGCCACTAATTAGTTTAAGCTCGTCACTGTCAAAATTTTATCGAAACTCACCTTTCATAGTTCGTTGTTCTTAGAATTTTCTGCAAAAGCAACCATTTATCTAGAAGGTGTCTTATTACATGTTAAATTTACTTCACTTTAAATATACATATGTAGATAATTAAACGAATTAATTATAATTAAAAGCTCGTGTTTGAAAATTTCATATGCTTGTATTAGCTTGTATCTTATCTGAAGTTATTCAATTTTATGTTAAAAAGTTTACGCAGTAAGCGTTAAGAACATCTGCCTAACAAAAACAACAATGCGATCGATCAATTTAGGAATTGACATAGAATGTGAGAACATAAATCTACTTCGTTAAAAAATCGCCATTCACTACGAGTTCCAGTTATTCCGTAGATATAAAATTGTGCAAATAAAAAAATAAAATAAAATGAAATTAAAAACAAAAAATAGATAAAAAATAATTTAAATTAAAAAAAAAAAAATTTCAAAAATAACAAGCTGAGATACCCTTCACAAATAAAACAGTTTCCATACAAGAACTTGATTTTGATCGATAAGTTTGTACGACAGCTATATGATATATGCGATATGCGATCTTAACAATTTCTTCAGTGATACCTTAAGCAATAATCCATGTCAAATACCGTGAAGATATCTCATCAAATAAAAAAGTTTTCCATACAACGACTCGGTTTAAATTGTTCAGTTTGGATGGGAGCTATATGCTATAGTGGTCATATCTAATCTATTTATTCGGAGATTATATTGTTGTTTCAGACAAAAATAAATGTCAATGTTTTTGAAGGTATGTCGTTAAATACAAAAGTTTTCCATACAAGACAGGTATTTGATGGTTCAGTTTGTATGGCAACTATATGCTCTAGTGGTCCTATATCGACGGTTCCGACAAATAAGCAGCTTCTTGGGGAGAAAATGATGTATGTAAAATTTCAGATCGTTATCTCAACAAGTCAGGGATTCGTTCGCGTACAGACAGACAAACATGGCTAAATCAACTCAGCACGTCACACTGAACAACATTATCTAGAAAGAACTAACCAACGCGTGACTGCCAAATAAGTCCACTTAAACACATTAACACGAAATAAAATCACAAGATATTAATTCAAACACATTCGAATCGAAAGAGGAAAAACATACGTTAACCGTTATGTTGTTGTTGTACAGCATTAAAAAATACATATTTACATACATAGATGTATTTGGAGTGTGGCAATGACTTCAATAACTGAGCATTCAACCGAATTGTGTACGAGAAAAGGTGTTTGCCGTTGATGAGCAACAGCACGCAAATGACATACAACAACAGCAACTAGAATGGTTGAGTAGCAGTAAAAAAAAAAACATTAATTAAATAATTTACATATGGCGACTTGAGAGGATGCTTCTAGTATGTATGTATGTATGTACATATGTAATTATGTTTCTTCAACTGCGATTGCTTGCAGCTACTTTAATAGAAAAAATGACAAACCTTTTTAAGTTAAGCTATTAAGAAACGAACATTAAAACGTTTGGCAATAAGCAGAGCTGCCAAGCGAAAGAAAACAATTAATTCGAATTAATCCGAATCAATCCGAATTATTCCGAATTACTCCGAATTTTTTACAATTTTATTGCAGTGATCAACGTCGAGAATCCCTGTTATTTTATAAGTAGTATTACTCTGAAATGTTCCGAATTACTCCGAAAAAACGTTTTTTGAAATTATAGCTGGGAACGACCTCGAGAAGCCCGGGTGTTTAAGAACGCGATTATTACTCCGAAATATTTCGAATTACACTGAAAATATTTATTTGTGATTACTCTTTCTACTTCTTTTCTCTTCCACAGAAGAAGTTAAGGTAACCCCAAGATATGTTGATTATGATGATAGCGGTGAGTGTTTCCAGAAAACAAATTTCTATTTAGTTTTCGAAAGACTATTTTGTTCTTAAATAACGTCTACAGGCCGGAACTACATTAATCAAGAATCCTGCAAACTCTCTTTTGTCAATCAAAGATTAATATGGTCGCTTTTTTGTAATGGCAACCTAAAAATTTCTTGTCAAGTAGGACTGTCCCCACAAAGAAAATTCACAAGGTCAACTGATCCTGAGTAAGTCCATTTTTTTAAGAATAAAAAAAGGCTTTGTGAGATCTACCTAGCTACTGAAATATTTCTTCATTTCTCAGTATTTATCTGATCCTACAACTAAATCGATTCCTCGTATAATCTAAGTCTGCATCAGCTTTTTTTTCAACACGATTTTTTGTATTCGAAATCTAAAGCAATTGTTTATAAAAAGTAGAAGTGTGAGCTGAATCTCCAAACCAGGTTTGGGAGCATAAAATTCCTTGAAACCTAAGAATCACTCCGTCCTGGATACAAGAATAGCTTTTCTAGCCGTCAAAGAGATGGGTTAGTTAGTTCTGTAACCAATATGTTAGATAATGTATAGAAATATTTAGATGCGATCTCATTTGACAAATTGGAGAGAGAGGCCGCTAATCTGATAGACATTTCGTGCCAAACGTTTATATACACTTCTCGATACCTGATAGAGTACAAAATTGCGACCCGTTAAATTAGAAATGTTATTAGAAAAATTATTATAAAATTTAAACTGTCAAACTGTTATAGCGATCATAACAAGTCCATATCCCCTTTTCATTCATGACGTCACGAATTAATAACGTTAACTGTTAAATATGCTACAAGTAAAGTAACAGAAAGGAAGTGTCATAATCTCGATAATTTTGATTTGTATTCGGATAAAAAACTTAAAAGTAAATTAAACGACTTCGGTTGGTTCGACGGTTCGAACTGGGTAAGATCGTCAGCAAAGTCTAAAATTTTTTTGGTACCCTAACAGGAACTTTAAAAAAAGTTTTCAAATAAGACTGAACCGAAAAGCTAAGTCAAAAAGTTTATATCTAGGTCGTCAAATTTTCACAACTGGCCTCGTTAAAGTTCAGCTGCGTCGTCAGACATCCACACTACTTACTTATCTACCACGAACGCCAAATTGAACAAACAAACTAAATTGTTAACTATTAACTAACTAATGATACCCTAGACTTACTGAGATCACAAAGAAATACTTAAAACAAATATTAAACATTTTTGAAATCTTACAAGTTTAAAATTTCGCCGAAAAGCTTAAAGATTAACGAAACCAATCCAAAACATCAACGGGTTTTCTACTCCGCCCTCGGTATTTAATCAAATTAAGACATTTTACTAATAATAATAATGGTATGTAAAACAGTTGACCATTATTTTCCGACATATTTACCACAATACCTGAGTAACCACCTATAAAGCCAACAATGGCATTATACTTAATTAACAACAATATACCCACCGCATTGAATTGCTCGAACATACATTTTCTATCATAATTTCCATCGCCAAGCCGAATACTCTCTTGTGAACGCATTCAATGCATTAAGATTTTGTAAAAAAAAATATGAGCAGTTGGCACAAAACGTAAATGGCTGTTTGTTATCACAAGGGGTGTTAATTGTAGCCGAAAAGCATTCGATGTGCAACTTCTATTTGTTCATTTGTCACTGATTTGCTGCTCGGCGCTGCAGCTGCATAGGCGTATTCACGAGTGAATGAGCATAGATGGACGAAAGTGTAAATTGTATCCATTCATTTTTGCAGTGTATAGTCAGTGAGTTTATGTGCTAGATTCTAGACCAGACTACTACTACTGGAGTAAGAGCATTTGTACCAACCAATTGCCACCTTTACGAGTCTGATCACTAGTTAAAATCATTCTTAAACTATCAGTACATTCGAACTTCAAGAAAGATTACTTTGAAGGGGACAAAACAGCAATTGATGAATCAATAAGTACTCAAAGAAATTCAAAATGAAGTGGAAATTCTCTCGACATAACTTCGTGGTCAATTCGGAGGGCCGTCCAAAGAGTCTACAGCCAGATTACAAGTCCAAAGAAGCTTTACTTTAACTTTTGTGTAAATAAAGTTTTTAATGTAGTATTTTACCAAAGTTGCCTTGATTTCTGTCAGTCCAAAGCAAGTCCTGGAAATCAAAGTATAGCCTTATTTGTGTTTAAGCGGAGACTCTCTTTGTCGCAACATATTGAACTTGACTAATAATTTTTTAACAAATTTTTAAGTGTTTTGCCGCAAATTCGTACTAACGGTAAAATAGGTAAAGTTCGTGGTTTTTTTTGTTTTTTTGACTCAGCTCTTTTCAAGCCACTCCGACACACGTGATCGTGAATACCTCTCCTGTACATATTACCGCTCAAGCCAAAAACGCTTTAGTCACAATGCTTGTGAGCTCATATTGTTTTTATTGCTGCATTGACCACTTTGCCGCTGCTCTGTCTGCTTCTTCAGCGGCTAGCAACACCATCACTATTTCAACCGCTGCCATTGTGGCTGCCGCCTCTTTTAATTGATTCGTAGTTAGCTTATATTTGAATTAGTTTACTCTTTAATTTTGTTTGTTGATTTTAGTTGTTGTTTGTTTAAGTTGTTGTTGTTTATTTTGTTGTTGTTCTTTATTTAGTATTTTTGTTGATTTTTGTTTTGTTTTTGTGTGTTTGTTGTGTGCGTTGTCTTCAGCAGCAATTTTATTTATATTTTTTCTCTACCTTTTTGTTTTTGTTGTTCTTGTCGCTCTTGGCATCTACTTCTTCATCGTCGTTGTGTTCTTCATTTCATCGATTTGGCGGGGTCGCTTGCCACTGCCGGCCATCAGCGCCGCTCTTTGAACACCACATACATATGTATAAATAACAAAGTAACTTTGTGGCTCATCATCATTTGTGTTTCGATCTTCTCGAGTGTGTGTTAGCTCGGCTTAAAAATCAAATAGTAAACAAATCGATTTTGCCACTGCAGTTAACTAAATCTAAATAAATACCGTAAAAATGGTAGGTGATGGCTTTTGCATACATTTTAATTTTTTTTTCCCGTGTTTTTGAGGCCATTTGGTGCATGAAGAATGCAACGGAAGTGTTTAGTGCTAACAAAGTTAATGGATTAAAAATAAAAAAATGAAATCAGCAAGATTTGAAAAAAAGATATTTTTTATGTTGTTATGAAAATTTAACAAAAAAAAATATATATATTCCAAAAAATTGAGACAATATGAGAAATATCCTTAACGCGAAAATCGAAGTTATGCATGTGAAAATTGAACATTTCTTTAATAAAACATAACCTACAACCATAAAAAAATAATAAAAGATGTTAAATTCGGCTGCACCGAATCACAGGTGCATTTCTTATAGCATAAAAGGGTATAAAAAGATCTTTAACTCTATTTTGAGCGAACAGTTTGTATGGCAGCTATATGCAATAGTGGTCCGATCTGAGCAATGTGTTCGAATATTATAGCATTACCTTGCAAACTTATTTATGCACAATTTCCCAAAGATATCTTGTCAAATTAAAAAGTTTTCCATACAAGCACTTGATTTTGATCGATCAGTTTGTATGGTAGCTACATGCTTTGGTGGTCCGATATCGACGACTCCGACAAATAAGCAGTTTCTTAGTGAGAAATAGAGCTGTGCAAAATTTCAGGGCGATATCTCAAAAAATGAGGGACTAGTTCGGCTATATACGCACGGACAGACAAGCGGACAAAGCTAAATCGACTCAGTTCCTCACGCTGATCATTAATATTATATATTTTATATGGTCACCGACGTGTCCTTCCGGGTGTTAGAAACTTCGTAGCAAACTTACTGCAATGTACCCTGTTCAGGGTGTAAATATCCTTAAACCGAAAATCGTAGTCCTTGAAGTGAAAATGTAATATATTTTAAAGCAAAACCGCAAAATCAAAAACAAAAAATATTAAAAAATAGAACTCACCAAAAAACCTCATCCTACTAAGCGAATTCAAAAATCTTAACAATTTCGCAAAATTTCTGGAACGATCCTCCGAAAAAATCTGCATACCAAAGCTAAGCGTGTCTGCGATTCGCCGCTAATTTAAGATTGCCTAAACTAGTTTGTTAACTTTTACTTATTTATTCAATAAAAACGAGTCTTCTGCACGCCTGATAAATGCTTTAATTACTTTTGTGGTCTTTCAGTCTGTTATTCCACTTTTCTTCCTTTTTTTTTTAAATACGTTACTTATTATTAATAGTTTGTCGTGCAGCATTTCTAATTATGTAAATTTTTAATTAGAATTTCTCATAAACGCTATTTCATAATACCACTTTGACTTTCTAAAAGTGCGGCAGAGTTGCTAGCCTGAAACTTGAGCAGTGTGTCAAACAGGTTTTACCGTTTTAAGGTTTTACTTGTAGGGATTAAATTTAGAAATATTTGCAAAAAAATAGAAACTGAATATTATCAGTATTTAACAAACCTGATCCTTGCTCACTTCAATAACTATTGAGCCGTAACTTCCAGAGAAAGCTCTGAAAAAAATAAGATTTAAAAAAAATATCTACATTAAAGCTTTTTCAAGCCTTGGACATTCCAAGAACATAAGTTAGTTGAGTAAATAGAACTCTAATAATTATAGACTCGGCTTTTGCCTGTCTTATAACCGTTTGTCTCCGAATATTTAGACAGTTCAGTTACCAGTTTGAGATAAGCTGAGCAAAAATAGAATCTTGATGAAAAGAAAAGGTTTATATGTCAAAGCTTTCTATAACAGAGTTTCAGGCTGTCTTTGGAAAACTTTTTTATTAAAGCAATTCACATTAGTTTATCATCTCAATATAAAAAAGTTACAAATATGTTTTTGTCTTTTCATAAATCATATAAAAGCTATATGTGAAAGCTCTCTTGAGTTTGGAATTTTGAATTACTGCTACAAAAATAAATATTTTCTATTTGAATAAATTCATTAGAAAGTTGTTTTATGAAAGCTTTTTTCACACGCAAACTTTCATTTTACGTGAAAGCTCTTTAAGTTCATACACTTCTTCAAATTATAATGATAGATACAAGGCATTTATAAGGATATTCAGGTGAAAGGTCGCTATAATTAATTTAGCCACAAATTTTCTTTATAAAGCTTTTTTATGAAACCTCTTTCAGTTATATTCCAACGTGAAAGCTCTTCAAATTGTTGCACTTTCTCATATTCTTATTATAAAAAAAAGTATTTAAATTTTCGAAATTTCATTTAAAAGCTTTTTTAAGTGAAAGCTTTCTAAATTAGTTTTAGTTACCAATTTTTAGGAAATCAAAAGATACATATATTCTTTTTGGAACAATTCATTCCAAGCTTTCAAAAAACTTTTCGGCTACTATTTCTAACGATATTTTTTTATTTCAACACAAAAACGTAGATAAAACTAATCTAATATTCTTAATTTAATTTATATTTTCATATATATTCCTTTTCGCCCTCTTTTAGAAATTTATCATCCTAGCTTTTGCCATTATCGGTTGCGCCGCCGCCCAATTCGACTCGGCCACACAAGGTCCCAACCCACAGGACATCGCCACACCGGAACCCGAATATATCGACATCGATGAACCGCTGCCCGCACCAGCCGCCCCCATCCAAACACAAGCGCGCACCAGCTTCATTCCCGCAGCACGTCCCGTTGCACCACGTCCCATTGCCCAAGCCATCCCTATTGCGGCGCCATCTCTCATACGCGCACCCACTCAATCGTATCTGCCACCCGGCAGCAGCTACGCACAAGGCGGGCACATTTTCAACCCACAAAGCGGTTACCAATACAGACAAGCGCGCAGACGCGTCGTCTACCGTCGCCGTTATTAGGGCGTTGCACATACTGTTGACCGTTAAAGTTGCAGCAAAAGCAGGCATACATACTAATTACAACAATGATGAGATAATAGCTGTACATAGAACTGTATGTGTGGCTGTGTGTGTGTGTGTAAGCGCTTGCACACATACGCACACATCTACACGACTTTCATTAATTATTTAATATATTATTAATTTGTAAGTTAAAATTGAAAAAAGTTGAATTTCACAATTCAGCTTTTGAAAAAAACTCAAAAAAATAAAAAAAATATAAAAATTGAAAATAATTAAGTAAATCCGTCATTAGCTGCAAGGCCATAGAATTTTCGTACAAACAACAAGTGAGCAAATGTATATTTTTGTTTAATATTTAAAGATATTAAGCCAAAAAGACACACGCACAAACACATAACCATTCATGTAACTACCCCACACATGCATACTTACACATATGTATGTGTGTATGTAGACACACTGCGATAGACTCAATTACTCAGGTATTATGTACATTATATAAATAAAATATTTATAGTACATGTACATATGTATGTTTAAAATTACAATATTAAAACAAAGTGTTTCATTTCTTATTTTTCTTGGCTGGTTCATATGGCTAGACCAGTTCGCTCATTATATGAGGTAATATAATCTTTTCACATTAAAAAAAAATAGTTTTTAAACTATAAATTGTACATTTGTTATATTCAGTGGAGCAATAAAAAAACTATCTACTTTGTTATAACGGAATTGTTCTTAACAATTTTACTTTTTTACAATTTTTTGTATTTTATTGTTTTAAAACTTTTTTTAAAAATATTTTTAAAAGTAATTTTAAATTTTTTTGTATTTTATTGTTGTAAAATTATTATTATTTTTAAACATTTTTAAAAGTAATTTTAAATTTTTAATGGTTTTAATATTTTTATAATTTTTTTTTCCAAATTACAATTTTATAATAAAATTTTTTTTTTTAAATGTTTCGGTTATTAGATATTAATAACAGCATCTGTAAGAATCGACACATGGTTGTGGCGCCGCCCACTTTTAGGTGAAATCCCTTACCTCAGGAACTACTTGACCTATTTCAAATCCAAATTTGGTGTGTAAGGTTACCCAAACATTCCTATTATATACTGCGAAAATGGGCGAAATTGGTTGACAACCACGCCTACTTCCTACATAAATAATTTTTAAATTCCAACTGATTTTCCACTCTACAGTATGCAAATAAAATATCAATGCAGTTATCACAATAACACTTTACATAAATAGTGTTCTCAGCAAATATTGCTTCAACTTAGGCCCAAGTATTGTCAAAATCAGACTATAACGTTTCAAGGACGCAGACACCAAATATTTGGCTCCTAGTGCATTTGGCTGATTTTTGACCGACCATATTGGTCAATCTGTGAGTTTTGGTATTGAAATTCAAGGGCGGTTATAGTTCTGTGATGACCTGGTGCCAAAAATGGGTAAAATCCGTTCAAAACTTCCCTCAGACCCCATGTGCCGAATATAAATATTTTCGAACTTCCGGTTGACTTTATACCTCATCTATCGGTCAATACGTAAGAAATCTTATTAAAATTCAGAAATAATCTTTCTATAATAATAGTGTATCCTCTTGCCTAAAATGGACGAAATCAGGGCAATACTTCATCTAGTCGCCATATACCCAATATTCGGATTTACAAACATTCACTGAACTTAATCTATACAAATATTATAAAGAAGAAATATTTGATTGTTTGTTTGAATTGCATAGGCTTCTAAACTACCTGATAGATTTGAAAAGCTTAGGAAGCTACACTCTCTTCGGTGAACATGGGCTATAATATATTATATTTATGTTAGGGAACGTTACTAAAACACCAATAATGTAACCCAAGATCAAGAAAAAAATTACCTAAAAACTCATAGAACATATTATTATCTTCGAAAAATGTCGCGACAGCATAGGTATGTCCAACTCTTATAAGTACGTCACAAGGTTCACTTAATTAACAAGAATAATAAATGCCTCATCTGTAGAAGCTCTTTGTTTCTACCTCGGTAATTATTTTTATCAATATTAATTACTTCATATTCAAAACTGATTCAATACTTTTATACAACTTTATGACTTATTCGATTCAGATGTTCTCTTCGAAAGACAGCACGAATTTAAAAATGTAAATATTAAAAAAAAGTCGCGTGATGAGCGGCGACTACAAAAATGTAAATTTGAATTGTAGCCTAATAGCTGCAAGGTTACAAGAGCTATATGTTTTTCTTCTTCTTCTATAGCAACTAGTATAGGAGAGGCCTGAAAAAAACAATAAAAAGTATTACAGAAACAAAGCGCAGATACACGACATGAAAATGACAATTATAATAATAGAAACCCCATAATTTATGCAATGTTGTATTTTTAAAAAACCAAAATCAAAAAAACAGGTTCCAAATAAAAAAAAAACATAAAATATTGTAGTAAAATGAACAAAAAAACAAAAAAAAAAAAGAATAAATAAAATACACACCTTTAACTATAGGAAATAATATAGCACTTACTTGCATTTCAACATATTTTTGTTGGGCCTACAACGAAAGCTGCTTTCAGAAAATCAAAAATTAAAAAACATATACAAAAGCAAAGAAAACACATTAACTTCGGCTGCACCGAAGCTGTAATACTCTTCACAGTTTCAAATTTTCTTATAAGAACTTGATTTGGATCAGTCAGTTTGTATGGCAGCTATATGATATAATGATTCGATCTGAACAATTTCGTTGAACAATCGTTCAGTTTGTATGGCAGCTATATGCTATAGTAGTCCGATATCAGCGATCCCGACAGATGAGCAGCTTCTTGGGCCGAAAAGAGAGTGTGAAAATTTTCAGATCGATACATGAAAAACTGAGCGATAAGTTCGCGTATACACAGTCAGGCAGACGAATATGGCTAAATCAACTCAGCTCGTCACACTGATCATTTATATATTTTATATATTTTTTGGAGGAGTCTCCAACGTTTCCTTCTGTTACAAATTTTGTGGCAAACTTAATGTACTCTGTTCAGGGTATAAAAATAAAAAAAAACGAGTTAGCAGCAAAATCATGTACTGACCACAGTCTCTAACATTAGCATACTTACATACAAACAAACTGAGTGATACGCTAAAGACATTTTATTTTATTTAATTTGAAACATTTTATGCACAAATCATTTGGTAAGCACTTTTAGAGCAACACTTCCTACCATAAAAACCAATGACAATATTCAACGTTGTTCAATATGCAAGAAAAAAAATCAATTTATTTAAAATATTAAAACATAATAAACAACTATTTATAGACACATACTCAAATCGTGGGCCATTTACACACACACTCACATGCTTACAAAAATTAGCACCACAGCCTCAAACGCTAATTTATAAGCCGTATACCCAGTGCTGATCTGCATTAAGAGCGGTCTGCACGCTGTAGCATGGTCGGTTCATCTTCATCGACGTTCGCCAATTAATCGAAGTCAATTTAGTAACCGGAATAGTGGAACCTTCAGTTTTGGTTGAAAATTAAATCATAGCTAATAATGTCTTCGAAGATTAGTGCATTTTTTGTTTCGTTAATTTATTTGGTAAAATAATTTAAATTCATCTAGTCGCAGCATTTGTGACCTATCAGTTGTCACATACAATATAGAAATACATACATAACCATAAAACCAGTTTCGGCTTGCAATAATGACAAATCTTTGCTGCCAGGTGATATAATTAAATAAATTCTGAGGAAGAAAAAGCAGATCCAAAAAGAGTTTAGTTGCAAGTATTTCACTTCTTTTTCGGTGCTCTGAACACTTATCTGAATCAAATTGGGTCTATGAAACAGAGTTGCCGCTGCTGTGTTTCACAAGTTCATAACTATTGAAGTCATACACTTTTCTACTCAAACTTTTCAGCATATAAGAGTATTGCTCTTCCATTAAGTTCATCTGCTAATTTTCAAAACAGCTAGTTTCGTTTGAATAAATCACAAATCCCCTGCTATAATCTGTTTTTCCATTAAAATATCGGCTAGCACAGGCTAAAAAAAATTTGAGTAAAGCATATGGCTATGTTCAGGTGCACTGAGCACATAAAGCTTTTTTTTTTAACTTGTGAACCTTAGAGTCTCACACTTAATTCTCCTTTTCAGCCATCACTCTCTAGCTCCCCTTGAAATATCTATCTAGCGTTTCCATTGGACTTTACGTCGTAGAACAACGTTACTTTCATCTTGTAACTTGCAAAGCCCGGGATTCTATCTACAAGTAATGTAGACTTATAAATTAAACCTTTTCGGCATTTGCAGCAAACGAGCAGCTTTTTAAGGAGAAAGAGACGTATGCGGAATTTCAGGTTAATATCTCAAAAGCAGAAGGACTAGTTCGTATATATGGTACATAGACAGACATGATTAAAGGGTGATTAATGGTCTCGAGCAAAAACGCCATATTTTCAATAATAAACTTTTTTTTCATATAAAAAATTAAATATTTTCTTTGCGGTAAGTGAATCTATAATATAATGCCATATTTTCAATCAATTATACTAATGGGACCACAAATCCATGATTAAGAGTCTAGTGCGACTAATTCAAATCGTAACTCTACATTTTTCAAATTAAAGAAAAATAATAAAAAAAGGCTCTGGGTTATACACTTCAGAAGGGATGAACTTTAAATCCCAAAGAATTTCCGCATAATTTGTAAATGTGGTTCCTAGGCCCACCTACAATAATAATGCCCGAACAATACCAATATTGACAACAAAGGAAAATTATTCGGTAAAAATTTAATATATGGTAGTCGTGTTTTGGAAAAGAGTTGCCACCTATAGCACAACTGAAAACTGAAAATATTATAAACATATGTATGTAGTTGAAGTAAGTTTTCCATAAAGTACTCGTAATATATGAAATTTTGATCAATTTTGAAAAATAGTTGCCTGCTATCGAAAAATTTTAAATTAAAAATATTATTTCTAAATAATATTTGTTTAAGAAAGCAATCGTGTATACTTTAATTTAGACATATATATTTTGGAATAGAGTGGCCACCTAACAACAAAAGTAAAACTGCAAATGTGACACAGTAGATAAAGTAAGCTTTTTGGAAAGTATTCGGGTAGTTTTAATTTTCTTAAATTTTCTAAGCGAGTTGCCATCTAACAAAAAAATTTAAAACTGTAAATATTATGTACGAATATGATTTTTTTAATGTGTGCTTTAAGTACGCTACGTTACTTAAGAAATAATCGCGGATTCTTTAATTTAAATGTATTTTGGAATAGAGTTGCCACATAACAAAAATGTTAAAACTGCTATTATTAGACAAAAGTTGTTTATGTAAGTGATACGGAGAGTATTCGCGACGTTTTAGTTTTTTTTAATAGAGTTGCCAGCTAACGAAAATAATCAAAATTTTTTTTAAAAATATACCATAATTTGTTAAAGTCAGCTTCTGTAAAATATAGGTGAAGTCATTAGTTCAGACATATTTTTTAAAAGAGTTGCCACCTTTAAAAAAAAATTATCAAAACATTGAATTAAAATTTGGAGAAAAAATGTACATATATTGTTAACTTTAAGTACATATGTGCGTATTTATATTTGTATATAGATACTCTCAATGAAATACGAATCGAAATAACGACTAACGGTAAAATGTAAATAATATCTATCAGAACAATACAGGTCTAATGCTTCTATAAAGATTTTATGGCT